TGACAAAGTGCTCTGCTTCATTATCTTAATTACGCATTTATCCATAAGTATGCGGCGTACATACAGCGAACATATGGATAAACGCATAACTAAGATAGTGAAGCGGCGTAATTCGTCCCGCGTGCCGTCAGCTTACGCGAAACAAGCGGAGCGGGTGACGCGTCGGCGGCGGTACACGTCTTGATTTTCGGCCGAACGAGTATTGCGATTACGCATCCGATCAACCAGAGTTTGAATGCCGAATCTATATTACGCGCTAATTAGATGCAAGATTGATCGGATGCGTATTTCGCAATACTCGTTCGACCGAAAATCGAAATATGTAGCGTCGGCGTCGTTGCGCACCACTATTGCCGCCACTCTCGCCGATGCGTCGCCGCGCGCCGCTGTTGCACCGACGCCGCCGCAGCGCGTACGGTGGCGCTATATTGGCACGCGAGCCGCGAAGTTGATCGCGCGGATAGACGACACCGCTAGTCCACTATTTTAGTAGCGTTTTATCATTTCAGAACTCGATACGAGAACGAGATAGGTCATCTTCGGAACAAGAGGCGTCGCGGCTAATATAATTGGTAAAGTGGACTTTGCATTTAATTGTCTATAACATATAGCATCGCCGTTCTATCGCCGTCGCCACCACCGCCGACCCGCGTCGCCGCGACGCTTGTTTCGCGTAAGCTGACCGCGTGCGGGACAAAGTGCTCTGCTTCATTATCTTAATTACGCATTTATCCATAAGTATGGCGTACGTTACATACAGCGAACATATGGATAAACACATAAGTAAGATAGTGAAGCGGCGTAATTCGTCCCGCGTGCCGTCAGCTTACGCAAAACAAGCGTCGCGGCGCGGGCGACGCGTCGGCGGCGGTACACGTCTTGATTTTTGGCCGAACGAGTATTGCGATTACGCATCCGATCAACCAGAGTTTGAATGCCGAATCTATATTACGCGCTAATTAGATGCAAGATTGATCGGATGCGTATTTCGCAATACTCGTTCGACCGAAAATCAAAATGTGTAGCGTCGGCGTCGCCGCGCGTCACTGTTGCACTGACGCCGCCGCAGCGCGTACGGTAGCGCTACTGGCGCGCGAAGTTGATCGCGCGGATAGACGAAACACGAACAGATTCACCATTTTAGTAGCGTTTCTTTTATAATTTCAGAACTCGATACGAGATAGATCATCTTCGGAACGAGAGGCGTCGCGGCTAATATAATTGGTAAGTGGGATTTTTATTTACATTTGTCTAACATGTAGCGTCGCCGCGCTATCGCCGTCGCCACCGCCGCCGATCCGCGTCGCCGCGACGCTTGTTTCGCGTAAGCTGATCTCACGCGGGAATTGCTCCGCTTCGCAATCTCAATGACGTTAACGCATAAACGCTGCCACCGTTGCCGCGGCGCTCATTTCGCGTAAAGTTAATCGCGCGCGGGACGAAGCACGCTTCTTTGCCATCTTAATTATATTAATGTTTTAATTGCAGGACGTGATGGATACAGAACGCAACGATTGCGGAACGAGTACCGTCGCGAGTCATATAATTGGTAAGTGCGAAAATTATGTTGAATTTCGTACGCTTTTATTTTTTGCTGCCGCAATATGATTAAGTTACGTGTGATTTATATCGAGAACATACGAGGTATAATA